ATAATTTGTCGAAAAAAATTTGGCAATTCGACAAATTTTATTAAAAAAATATCGATAGAATAAAATTTGTTGAAGTAAATTTTATTCTATCGACATTTTTTGTAGTAGACAAAATTGATGTTTCCCCTTTTCGCAGCCGGACCGGCACTTTTTTAATACTTGATCTGAACCGAACTGGATGCAATCGATATCCGAAAATACTCCATCAAAAGCAACGACACAAAGCGATTATCTCAGATTGACTCTGCGCGAATTAGTCTTTGACAGACCGCTTCTCGTATCGGCAAGCAGGATAAAGCCGATTGCAACACTTGACACAACTCCAAAGACTTAGTAGACAATCCCTAGTGAAAATACTCGTCAAGCGAGTACGACTTTCCAGCGTCAGTACTCATATTACTCACTCGAGTACTCAGGGAATTTCATGTGTACACATACTCGTCGAGTACTAGGATGAGTACTTGTGCAAGTTTTTCTTTAAAGATTTACTTATAGTCAGATAGATGGGTATTCAATGTAGTACTCATAATCGTTTTTCGCAGAACATTTAGCAAAACACTTATGCACTAGTATATATGAATATAAATTATAATTATATAATAAAAGAAAGTGATGCAATAAATTTTAAAATAGAAAACTATTTAATGCCTTATCTGCTCGATTCTCTATTCTTTTTTTGATAAGTCATTTATACAATAAATATTAATGGTGACTTTGAGAAAAAGAAAAAGATTTTTTCTTTTCATTTGTTAACTTCTCGGATAAGGTTAAATTCTTTTTAAACATATTAATGTAGATTTTCTTTAGTTTTACTTTCTAAATTTATATAAAATATCTTTGGTTAAAATAAAGTTTTTTAGATTGATTGTAAAATGCGTGAAACGAAGGACAACAAACAACTTTCGTTATAAATCGATCGCGATTTTAAAATAAGAAGATGCGTCAATATACTACAGACAAAAAGTTTTTTAGTTTGTATTTATTTATTTTTTTGTAAACTGTAATGAATTTAAGGATGCGTGTGTTTGATGTTTAGCGTGTTAAGCCATAATATACGTTTATTTTCTATCACATTTCTAATTGTCACTAAATAATTTATTATTTTTTCTGCTTGGTTGTTTTTTTTTTTACTGTTCTCAATTCATGTTTAATTGTACTCTCATTCTTGACGATCTACACAAAGAAATCTTCATTATTAGAGAGAATTGTTGGAGATTTTCTTTTTTTTCCTACATAACGAATAAACGATTTTATTGACTTTTGAATAAAAAGAACATAAAATTGTATTTTTATTGTATCAAAATACAGAAAATGCTTAACTTTCTTTGCTAATGATGAAAGTTTATATGTCCGTATTCTTTGTGTTAAAATGTATGAAACTGATATCATACTTGTATTTCTTATTTTGACTATTTTTCTCAAAGTTCTATTGCGTGTGCCCGTGTTTTTTATTATAAATTTGATAATAAATAAAAATTAATATAGTACAACGGTACTAACCAAAAAATATGCTTATGAGTATTTTTTTATAGACCAGTAAAGTACACAAAATTAGATAGTAGTACTACCAAAACGCTCAATATTATATGGCTAGTACTCAAATGCTCAGATTCTAGTGCAAGTACGACCGATGAGTACTCAAAACTCATGAGTACTCACGGCATTTTCTAGCGTGAGTACGACATGAGTACTACCCTATGAATATGTTGACTAGAGTTAACAGACAAAAACCACACTGGAACGAAAGTCTTTTCTATAGCATAGACTCATGACGTCATTCTTCTCTGTGATTGAGTCATAGGAAGACATGCCTATAGCTGTCACGAGACGTCCTCTATCAATACCCAACAACTCGTACTCATCTTAAACAGCATCAATCAAGCTTCCATTGTTTTCATTATCTCAGTGAAAAAAAATAGTAATCGATCACTATATAGTGTCTTCGCACCACAATGAAAGATGGCAGTAGCTTTCGATAAACTTATTGCTGCTTGTTTCAATGGCTGAGACGCACATCGAGTCACATTTTCATTAGCTTGACGACGAGCAACAGAATCCACAGATTGTTCGCGTCATCCAGATTTTACGCCGAACAAACAAAATGAATTATTCAGGATCGATAAAAGATTTATTATTTTTCAAACTCGACTTTTTTACGTACGTTTCAATAAGTATCGAGCGAAGTTTTGTTCTCCAGATCATGGTGTCACAAACGAATGGCTTGGGATGGATGTGCCGATAATGCGAGAGGTGATTTCTATGTGATCACTCATGCCGAAAATGAAGCAAAATGTCATACAGCATCATCGAACATTCTTCTCTTTCAGCATGGGTGAGTGTGGGTGTAGGTGCAGGTGTGGCCATCGGATGCCTTTTCTGTTCTATCACAGCCTCAGTCACACCCATACCCACACCCACCCACACCCTAGCCCAAATTAATGACGAGTGAGACGAATGATATCAGTGATTTCACATGTTTTTTTATTGATTTTCACATAATATGATCAACATGAGATAAATGAAGTGGTTTTAAGTAATAAAATGTATCATTGATAACTTCAAATCGTAAAAGAAAACGTTCAATCTTTGATGCTATTGTTGCATAATTACAATCCGAAAATGATAATGAAACAATTTGAAATGATATTGAAGTTAATCGATCTCAGAATATATCAAATTGTTTTCTTTTCTTAATATAACTGAGATAAACTCGAAAACGAGTATAGACAAGACAAACTAAACGAACTCGTTAATTAACAAGACATAAACATCCAAATATTCTAATATCATTGAGAATTTTGGCAATTAATTCACCTGGAAGATTGCTCAAATAATCAGACATCTTCTTTTTATTGATTATAAATCAATATTTGTATTTTTGTTTATATATACGAATAAGCCAACGGTGTAATTAAGAATATGCAATACATCATAATAAAAAAAATAATCGTTGTGCTGATTGTTAAGTTTTAATTGTAACAGAATATGACTAAACTACAACGATAAAGTTAAATGAATTTATTCAGAAACTTAAGTCATTTTATTGATTCATCTAACGTAAATCTATGAATTAGGTATGCGTTGCATCATCCTCAAACTAATACAGTGCGATCAGCTATACAACGATGATATATTCTCGCAAACTATTTAGAGAAAAGATTAATATTTAAAAAAACTTTTTCGAATAAGAATTCATCCTGAAGAATGAATTTCTACTTATCTATTGACTGTTTTAGGTATTTTTCACTCACACCCACCCTAGAAATATACTTAAAATAATGTAAGAAATGCTATTTCATGAATCGATAGCATCTATCGAGATGATCAAATATCTGGCTCCTCACTCTGCCTCTTTTTCCTCTATTTTACGAAAAGTCCTCTTTTTCTCCTCTTTTTGGATATAAATCCTCTTTTTCTTCCTTTTTGGGAAAAATTAGGCGTTAAAGGAAAATAGTCGATAATGTTGACTTATTTGGATGAATCAATACGCTTTTAACCAATAAGGTCAATAACAAGGTTGAAAATTGACCCTGAGTACGCATTGAGAGAGTCAAATAGACACTAATTCCATTCCGAAACGTTTTGTTAGTAAAATTATTTTGGCTTAGTATTTAATCGGATTAGCTAAAATCAATATTTATTGAAGTCAAAATTTAGAAATACTAAAATGAATTGCTGTAGACTTATGTATGTGCAAACATAAAAGTTTGAAAACTTGGTGCTTGAACGGAACAACAAGGTAGCTTCGAGCATGAACTTAAACACGATTTTCGATAATTGAAATTCAAGAATCTCGACTGCAGAACTGCGGAATCTTTCGTCAAAGTGATCAAATTTTCTTGGATGGGGAAATCGTTTTCAAGACGTAGCCGGTTAGCAAAGCAACAAAACACGATTTTTCTCGAAAAGCTCCAAAAATTTCACCAGAAGAAAAGTTTCTCAAATGCCCGTTCACACAGCAGTAGATTCTGCATCTCTGGTCGCCTCGAAGATGAATTAGTGATAACCTCTAACAAATTTTGTAAAAATTCGCTCCGTCAAGTAACTTTCAAGAGGTACAGTTTTCCTACTCTTAGAGGAATTTTATGAAAAATCGTGAAAACTGAACCGTAGTGTACTCAAGATTCAAATTTTTTTGTATATTATTCAATTCCAATTGAATTCCGAGTTATATTAGGCCTTTATAATTCATCAGAATTAATACTGTTCTGTTCCCAGGAAGAACTTCCGATAACGCGGTAGAAATTCTTGTTACAGATTTGAGAAAAAAACCTTGAAGGCTTTGTTTTGAATTGAATTTGTGGTATTTTTTTCTCTTATAAATATGCACGGTCTATTACGTCTTCTTTTGTTTATGTTAGCTCTTTAAGTTCTCGTGCTTTTATAAACTGAACATATTCTGAATATTCAGTGATTTTCCTTTTAATTACCTTTTCTTTGTCTACGAGTATTCGGGTAAAGTGATATCACAGTCAAATACTTTTGAAGTAGACTCTGTCCTTTTTGTCTCTTTTTTGTAGTTCTCTTTTTCTGAGCTCGGTAGAAAAAACACGACCGCAAATGTCAAGAACTGAATATCGCTTCCATCTTTCGAGTTTTTCAAGTTTGTGTTGAATCCAGATTAATGGTGCTCTAATTTATTGACTTTTGAACCCCGCGGCAGCCTTTGTTCACATTTTAGAAGCGAAAAAATGTTCCTCTTTTTTCCTCTTTTTCTACGGACTGTCGGTGGGATGCCAGATAGACCTTTTCTTGGAACTTCTCGTTCACATCTGGAAACCTACACATCCACACCATTGAACTCTAAGATTAACACATAATACAGGTTGGTTGAAAAGTTTTGAAAGCGACACCTATTAACCAGTAGAGGAATCAAAATTTATACGCTATTTTAATATTTCATCTTCCATTGGAACACACAAAAAATTCTATTTTGATTGGTCAATTCATTCTGTGTTTACAAGCCATTTGAAGTTGACGTGTCAGTGTATTTTGTTACAATGGAAAAAACCGAATATCGTGCAGTGATAAAATTCTTTGTTTTGGAAGGTTTATCAGCAACAGAAATTCATACAAAAATGGTGAAAGTGTTAAAGGAATCTGCTCCTTCATTTCCAACTGTGCATCGATGGGTTTTAGACTTTAAACGTGGTCGTACAAGCGTTGAAGATGAACCACGTAGTGGACGTCCAAAAAGTGCAACAACACCAGAAATCATTGAGCAAGTCTATGATATTGTTTGTAAAGATCCAAGTTTAACTAAGCGTGAAATTGCTGATACCATAGGCATCTCAGATGAACGAGTACTCCATATTTTACACGAAGAATTACATATGAAAAAGCTGCTCGGAAAGTTAGTGCCGCATTCGTTAACAATTCAACAAAAACTGAATCGAAAACAAATTTCTCACCGTAATTTGGAGCGTTTTAAGCAGAATAAAACCGATTTTGTGCGTCGTTTTATAACTATGGATGAGACTTGGATCTACCATCATGATCCTAAACTGAAACAAGAACGTTTACAGTGGATTGAAGCTGGTTCTTCAGCTCCAAAACAGGTGAAGTCAGAACGATCGGCAAAAAAGGTTATGGCATCAGTTTTTTGGGATGCAAAAGGGGTTTTGTTGATTGATTATCTTGAAAAAGGTAAAACAATTAACTCTGAATATTATTGCAACCTTTTGGACCAGTTGGATAAAAAAATTGGTGAAAAAAGACCCGGTTTACAGAAGAAAACAATCATTTTTCATCAAGACAATGCACGTGTTCACACAAGTTTTTTGACGATGGTTAAATTGAACGAATTAAAGTACGAATTGCTTGAACACCCACCGTATTCACCAGATTTGGCTCCCTCCGACTATTACCTCTTCAGAAACTTGAAACAATTCCTTCGTGGAAAGCGTTTTTCGTCGAATGAAGAAGCTATTGCAGCCGTGGAACAGTATTTTGCAGAGCTTCCGGAAAATCATTACAGAGATGGTATAAAATTATTGGAGGATCATTGGAATAAGTGTGTTCAAGTTGAGGGAGATTATATTGAATAAAAAAACTGATTTCATTAAAAAATACACATTCTTTCATTTTTGCTTTCAAAACTTTTCAACCAACCTGTACATGTAATAGATTGTACATGTTTCTTTTATCCAATCATGCTTTTTATGAACTTCCAAAGATTTGATTCAGTTCGTAGAACACGGCAATTTGCTTTAGATAGTAAGTATTGTTTTGTTGTGATTGTCTTCCTTTCAATATTAATTTAATAAACAGCTCTATATGAGTAACTTAATTTGTTAGTGACATGAATTTGCAGAATCAAAATGTCTATACCTTTGGATTCAGAACTCCCCTAGACTTAATTTTTATGAAAGAAATACATGTTGAGTTATTCTAAACATCTTACAAAAATTGAACCCTAGAAAGTTATTTTCGGACGAGTTTTTAGTAACTAAACGACTGTTAGAGACGTGAAATAAACAAAAGAAAAAGTCTATAACTGCTATCCGAGTGAAAATCTTCGATGAGCTCATATTTTGCTCATAGATAGAACTCATAGTATAAATAAAAATCTGAAAGAGTTCGTGCCAATGGATATTTCTTTCTCGAGTTATGATCAATTTGCTAGACTTTCAGCCTATTTTAGAAGATCACCAAAAAAATCGGAATAAGGAGTTTTGATCTGAAATGCTTCTTATGATATCCTGAATGTTTCCGTTCTAAGAGGACACGACTAAACTTTCAACATATTACAGGTACCATAAGTCCCATCTATGAGCAAACTATGAGTTCAAACGAAGATTATCAATAGAACAGGCTTCCATGTAAAATTTCCCAAAAGATTAATTTTCGTCGTGACTGAGTATGAGATTCCGAACTTATTGAAAATGATGCAAATCCTTCGTAGGAACTTGCCTTCATGAATTAATTAATTAGCTAAACAGTCCACATTTTTACAGATGTTCATGACAAAAAAGAATTGTTCAGAATAATATATCTTGTTCATATTATCTAATTTTTTTTCTATGTATCTTTTTTTTTCATATTTAACTTTAATTATGTCCTGAAACATATATATTTTTTCCATATGTGGAATTCCATGTGAACTATTCTTTATTTTGAAATTTGTTACTGCAGAACAAAAAACAAATTGTTATTAAAAAAAAAAGTTAAATCATTTGAAAAAATGGTTTGGTTCCGTTTCATTGACACTTTTGATTCAGCTGCATTTTTTGAAAAAAAAAACAACTTTATATAAGACATGCTTTACTAATACAATCAAATTATTTATCTAATGACGAACTATTGTTTTGATTATGTATGGTACAAAGTGATATATTTTAGATGTTCCATCGACGTCCTACTAACGGTCTAGGGGCATGAAAAAGAATCGATCACAACATATATACTTATAGATGGTAATATTTGCATGAAATTGGTGCTACCAGTACCCTAATCTGAGTGTGTGTGAGAGTAAAGAAACCCAATACCTACACCCATAACCCGCTAATCAAAAGCTTTTTTTGACCTTCCCGTCGATGACAATGGTGATTTTAATAATGTCGAATAGTATCATAGACAAAAGAATACATGTCACATGAATATTTCTTTTTTATATAAAATTAGATTACTATAATTAATTTTTTATTAGACATCTAACATTATCCTTGTATCATTTCCGTTCTTTTATAATAAAATGAATTTTTTTTTTTTTCATATTTTGAAAAGTATCTAAAACAGATTGAACGTTATCACAATCATTCCAATGCCTTTCACTTAGACAAATATGAACATATATATTTTTTCTTCCGTATGAAATCTTTCAGCCGGTTAAATGAATAAGCCTGAAGCCACATTACTTTTTTTGACGTTAAACCTTTGATTCTTATAAGATATGGATGGAAAAAAACGGATGTCATATTTTCTTTAATGAAATTATAGCTAACAGTCATAATGATGATGAGATAGAAAAATTGAGACAGAAAAAAAAACACCTTGATATTCATGTATGGGAAAATATATTTCTTCTTCGTTTTTTTTACGCCTACTTACTCACTACTAAACGATAAAAGTAATGTTTTCTCATTTTATTTTTCTTCTTTCTTTTTGGTGTTAACAAGTCAAGCAGAAAATGAGCAAAAGAAATCAACGAATGTATTTCAATTTATACTCAATGTTAAAAAAAAACGAAGAAAAAAAAACTTGGCACTGCCGCCGGATCAGGCAACCTAAATACTTGAATCAATATCCTATTAGCTTAAGTAGTTCAACTCATTCATTCATTTATATGCTGCTCACACATTTCTTTTTTTTTTTTTTTGTTTATGTAACCCATTCAAAGTACTAAAGATCGATAATAATAATGATGATGATGATGATATCTGATGATTCCCTAAGGCATCATCAGCCATACGATCAACGAACTTTTTCTCTCGTTTTTTTTTTCTTCTCTGTTGTTGATATCTTTTGTACCTCGAGCTGAATAGCGCATGTACACTTATAATTTATTATGCATTTGTTATAGAATAAGACAGAGTAAAATTGTAGACTTTATTCATTCATTTTTCTCGTCTGTTTCTTTTTAAAGTATTAACGATGTTGAATTCTTTCTTTTTTTTTCTTTATGACTTTCAGCAACATCAACATTAATATTTTTATTGACATAACCAATCCATATTCGAGTTTATACAATAACCAATCCGAATAAGCCAAGGAGAACAAAAAGAAAAAGAAATGCCGACTTTCTTCTTCCTTCTCGCTCTCTCTCTCTTTTTTGTATCCCGAAGGCAACAGAAGTAGTAATAAGGACGAATAGAAACATCGGAACTGGTACGACATACATTCCTATCCATACATACATCGAACAACGCCCATTAGCCATTCTTTTTTTTTCTGGACTAGAAACATTTTCTTGATTTACGTTTGTGCGAACAGCGAGCGTGTGCATACCATTAAACATTGTACGAACACATCCGCAAGCGGTCGTCTCATGTCATTTCATCACCTTCATCATCATCATCTTGCCGAAAATTCCTGGCAGGTAAATTGACTTGCCGTGTTCTGTATGTAATACATATATGTAGAACAGAGAGAAATAAAGATTTTTTTTTTTTTATATTCCTAATGCCTATAGATCATAGGATATATTCGATTTACATTAATCATATATCTATTTTTATCTAGGATCGATCAAATCATTTTATTAATAATTCAAATGTTCCAAATAATTCCGATCGATCAACTAGTCAAACATCATCAATGCCTCTTCCATCATCATCAAATTCAGGTGGTATTGATTTTCAACCACCATATTTTCCACCGCCATTTCCAAATGTAACACATCCAACACATCAACATCCATTTGATCAACTACAATCAAATCATTCACATAATCTTGATTATACATCATCATCATCACCTCCATATACAAATAATCAAACATCACAATCTTATAATTCTTTAGTTCGTTCATCAGGTGTAAATATTGATGAAACAACATCAACAACAACACCATTAACTCATCCATATGGTGCCTATGCAGAATATGCAGCATCTTATTATAGTCGTCATGCTATGGTACTTGATCCAGAATCATTACAACTTTATCGAAGTGGTTTATTAGGTACTGATCCAGCTAGTACAGCAGCTTTTCGAGTAATTAGAATATCTTTTTTCGGGGTTTTTGTTTTGTTTTAAACCAATTGTATTTATTATTTAGGTTCCTAGTCTTGATGATAATGTTCCACCAGCACTTTCTGAACATTATCGAGCATCACTTCATCGAGGTAAATAATTATAATTAAGACAACAACAACAAAAAAAACAAAATTTCTAAATTAAAATTTGTTTTTTTTTATAAAGATTTACGTCGTGGTGATACAAAAGAAGGTATTCAATTGAATTTAGGTGCTGGCAATCGACCTATTGCTCCAGCAGATGTATTTTGTAGTGTACCTGGACGATTATCTTTACTTAGTTCAAATTCAAAATATAAAGTTAGTGTAGCTGAAGTTCAACGACGTCTTTCACCACCAGAATGTCTTAATGCATCTTTACTTGGTGGTATTTTACGAAGGTAAATTTTTCTACTAAAAAAAAAAACAAATTTTTTTTGTTAAATCTATTTCATATGACATAGTTTCTTTTTTTCTTTTTGTTTTGTTATTGTTAAGAGCAAAATCAAAAAATGGTGGAAGATTATTACGTGAAAAACTTGAAAAAATTGGTGTTAATTTACCAGCTGGACGACGTAAAGCAGCTACAGTTACATTATTAACATCACTTGTTGAAGGTGAAGCTGCACATTTAGCACGTGATTTTCATTATGTATGTGATCAAGAATTTCCATCACGACAATGTGCAGAATATACAACACGTCAATATCATACAATAAATCATTTACAAGATCCATCAGCAATAACAAAACGTAAACAAAATATTCTTGCTGCTAAGTAAAAATTTCTTTAATTTTTTATTGAAAAATTTATTATGTTGTTGTTTTTTTTTGCTTTGCTTTGTTTTAGACAATTAGTTAAAGAATTTACTGATTTATTAGCACAAGATCGTTCACCATTAGGTACAAATAGTCGTTTAGCATCTGTTCTTGATATATCATTTCAACGACATTTAACAAATTTTTCTCTTATAACACATGGTTTTGGTACACCAGCAATTATTGGTGCAATGTCAGCATTACAAAATTATCTTACTGAAATGAATAAATTATGTGACAAACCAATGACAAATTCTATTGAAAATAAAAAAGATATTGATTTATTAAATGACAAAACTCGATAGATATTTCTTTCTATATATATATATATATTTAAATCATATACATTCCACAAAATTTCTTTGTATTTGTGCGTGTTTCGTGTTTTTTTTTCTTTTCTTTTTGTTTTAAACAATAATATCTGTTGAAACCATAAGTTATTTGCTACATATGTTCAGAAGATTTGTTTGTTCGATAGATATCAAGCGTTAAGACGTATGGAAGCTCAAAAAAATGCCTTAAGCTTTCTATTCTTTAATTGTTAGCAGAAAGATAAACATTTCTCTATTGTATTTTAAAATTATTCGGAAATTTTGATGATCATGGATCGTAGAACTATGACAAATTTATATTAATTTGATGATTAGATTTTTGAAAAAAATTCTTTTTCTTTTTGTTTTTCTTTATATATTCAATTTCCTTGAAAAATAGATTTTTTTACTTCTTCTATCATAAAACTATTAGTAATTAAAACGACAGGTTCCACTCCTTTTCTTTCTCTGCCGGGTAAATGACAAATGGTTAAAGATGTGCTGTTATACACACACACATTAGTCGTTTGTTTGTATATATTGATGGCCATACTGATCGATGCACCATGTATATACACAATAGCTAATGAACAACAATAGGCAAAAATAAACAAGTCGAAGAATAAAAAGATCAAAAGAAACGACACAACGGGTGCATACATCTGCATATACAACCTTAGGCATACGATAGTGCCCTATAGTTAGTAAAAATTGTATATACTTCAACTAGTTGATAACTATTTGGTGACGATTATAATATAGATATATATAGAATAGTCAATGAAAAGCAAAAATAATTGAAAATGGAATTATTAATGATACGCTTTTATTAAAACAACAAAAAGAAAGAACAGAATGTGTAAGCTAAATTGTATGTGTATTGATGAATCATTTTTTTAAATCATAACATCTTCATAATTATTAATGATTGTAAGTAATTATGATCTATTTCATCTTATATGACTTGAAGGATTACGCTGAGAAAACCTCTATCAGCTCGAAAGATTTTTTTTTTATCTTAATAAAAAATAAGTATAGTATTGTGTTCAATCACATGCATCAGAGAAAAGTTCAGCCAATATTGTCTTTTGAGGTCAATCCAGCAAAAGCTATGAAGTTTTGATAACATTGAATGCAGTAGTGAAATATACGATTTATCATATTCAATAAAATAACAGATTTTTAAGTGTTAGAAAATATTTTCAATTTTATTGAATTACTTTTGAATCGTTTAGAATTTTCTGCAACATAAAAAAAAACTAAAACAAATTAGAAAGTTTGTGTTGTGATTAGATATTCATTTAATGATTTTATCTTATGATAATTGTCTTCGAGAATTTGATTTCATTTACTTAAGTAAATAATTTAATTTTAAGCAATAGATGGTACTTGAGAAATAGGTCATAGTAGTAGCAAGTCATATTTTTTTATTTAAAAAGTTTAATTTTAATAAAATTCAATTGTTTGACACTAACACTGCATTTCATCTCAATATCTTCAGCATCAACAAAACGTATTAAAAGTATTTTTCTGATGTCGATAGGCTTCGATTCGAGTTCGATTTTGAAAAATCATATCCGCGCAGGACACTAACTGAGTCATCGACCTCTTCAAATCTTATCAAACTCGAAACAGTCCCAGTCCACACATAAATGCATAAACATGTTGCACAAGACTAAGTACAACATTGATGAATACACTCGTTAAGAATGTGTGAATATTTCCAATACTTGCATATGATCCGAGAAGGTTATACATGAACATTTATTAAACACAAATAATTAACAAAAAGTCTTTCTTTTTTTATTTTCAGATTAGTTTTTTTCTTCATTAAAAAATGTTTTTCTTCCAGTATACATAATTAAAGAATATCATGCGTCACTACTGTTCTTATATGAAAGAGAAAAACACATTTGCATAGGAAGAAAAAAAAGACGAAATGTAATATAAGATATTTCATATTCAGTCCAAACTACATAAAGTGTCAAAGGAAGGAACATATTTCATTTGAATGAGACACAGGTTTTTTTATCTACCTTTCAACGACTGTGAGAATCTGAGTTTCATTACTCATGTATCTTTGTTGTTCGTCTTGATAGCATGGGATGTTTTCATGTACTTTTACTAATAATTAAGGTTCGCATGTATTTTTTTTCCTTCCTCCCTTACTGACTTGACTGAATCATTCGAATAAAAAAAAAAACTACATTAATTTTATGATAATTGAATGCATTGAACTGTGACCTTCCAAAACAAGTAATACAAGTGTGAAAATATTTGATTCATTAGTAAAACTTGAAAAGTAATGTCTACAATATTATTATTCATATTCATTATATTTTCTTCTGTTAATTTGATATATAGTACTATATATCGATGTAATCCTAGTATTTCATGTGGTTGTTCAGCATTAAATACTACTATTACATCTCGAATTGTTGGTGGAGAAGCAGCATCTAATTATGCATGGGGTTGGATGGTTTCTCTTCAACAATCAAACAGTCATATATGTGGTGCAAGTCTTTTAACATCTGAATATGCTGTAACAGCTGCTCATTGTGTAGAAGATGTTATACATAATATATCTGTATTATCAATTCTTGCTGGGACAAATTATTTAAATTATACATCGATTACAACTATTCAACGAAGATCAATCATCGATGTTATTATGCATTCTGATTATAATTCAACCGTTTGGATAAATGATATTGCTATTCTTAAGTTTTCTTCACTTGATATATCATCAAATTCTAAAATAGCTTTTATTTGTTTACCAAAACAAGATGAAGATCCATTTCAAAGTGGTACTAATCTTGTAGCTATTGGATGGGGTGATTTATTCGAGAACAGTCGTTTTGGATCTGATTCTCTTCAACAAGTAACAGTTCAAGCATTTTCATCAACATCAGATGAATGTCAAGCATCAGAAATAGTCAATCCATCTGTGCAATTTTGTGCGGGAGTTATTGCTGGTGATAAAGGTAAGTTGTTCTTCTATATTTAATTAACAATAATTCTATTTGTTTTTTGTAGATACATGTCAAGGTGATAGTGGAGGTCCATTAATGGCTTTTGTTAATAATCGTTGGATATTAGCAGGATTATCATCATCGGGTATTGGATGCGCTGAAGCAGGATTTCTAGGATTATACACACGAGTATCCTATTTTATTTCGTTTATTAACTCAAACGTCAATTTTCCAGTAACAGAAACAACAACAGTTTCATTAGGGACAACGACAAGTCAACGTAGTAATAGTCAAACTAGCACTCTAGGAAATAATGGATATGTCATAAATAAATCAATGTCAATTGTGATGCTTTCGTTCTCATTTTTAGCGTGTTTCTTTTTTTCTTATTGATACTATAATGTATAAAGATGAATAGTAAATCTTTGATTCCATCAAAGACTTTTGACATTTTCTTATACTTATTTAATTCGTGTGACTTTTTTGTCACCTATTCAACTTGATATTCTTTAATAAATACAAATTTGTGACTCTTCAAAAGATAAACAAGCTTGTAAAGTTAATGAGTACTCTCCTCTACTTTTGACAGGTATTCATATGAAGACACCTTTAGAAACCATTAAGAGCTAATACTTCCATTTCATTATACTAATAGATGAGAGTCAGAGCTAGATTTTGATAAGAAGAAGAAGAAGAAGAAGTCTTTATCTCTTTTGAATCAGCAATTGTTAGCAATTTATGATAAAACAAACAAAACATTTCTATCTAACGAATAGAAATGTACGTAGCTATAGCAATTGAAAATTTCTGAGACTAATGCTGAAACTCATCTTCATGGAGAAATGACAGAAAAACGCTCTAATCGTCGAGCAAAATAAATGAAGAAATCGAGTATTTATGAATTATTTTAGATACGATACAAATAATCGTGATTGACCTATCATCGAAACCCAACAAATTTGATGTCGCACATTCCTACTCACGAATCATCCTGAGTAAGAGATCTGATTTGATTACAGAAATAACATTTACTGTTAAAAATGATCATACAAAATTCACAAACTCTAGATATCATGAAAAACAAAATATGAATTCTTTTCATGATGAATTAGATGTACTACAGATATAATGAAATTTGTAAGTTACATAGTTATATTTTTTTTTCATTCAATTCAATTCATTTCCATTATAACATCAAGCATGTGTTGAATTTTTTCTACCATACTCTTTGATTTCAATGAATTAGAATAGATCTAGAATCAATATAAAAATGAACATAAAACTCAAAGGAAGTAAATCATGTTGACTTTTATGACAAAAAGAAAGCACGAAGTTAGTTCTTTCCAAAGAGGAAACGAATACTTCTACAAAGTCATGTTTTATTTAGCATGAAGGCTGAAAGAGCAACATCTCTCAAGAGATCAAGTTTACCCTTCTAGAATTCGGAAGCATCGTACTGTGTATAATATGTTCATTCTCTCGAAAGTTGATATTCACTTTTCTGAACTTCGAATTGCTATCTCGAAAGAAAAACAACTGAATGAAACAGTGCTGCATACTTCATTAAACTTCATCATACTTTTTCTCTATGGCTACGTATTTTCGTAATTATTTTCGGTAAAATATCTGTAATGAATCTTACAGAAAATACTTCATTTTTTTTCTTTTAAATTTTTTGAAATTTCTCCGTACGTCATAGTACGTCTTGATAATATTGTAATTGAAAATAATTTTGAAATATGTTGTCTTATATGACAAGCGAGTGTCTTGTCAATAATGAACTTCTTAATACTTCGACTATAATATTGTTTTCGCATTTCTATTTTTAAACCTCGATTGCTTTTATCAAAAGATCTAATATTGAACATATTTTTCAAACAATATCTGCGAAGAGAATCGAACAAGAATTATTCAATACAGATGAATTGTCTACAGTGAAGAAACTGCATGGTCAATCTATTTTCATTGATTTAAACGATTCATCACAAAGAATAATAGCATATTATAGGTCATAAAAAGTCC